TAAATTAGGAACATAAGAGTTGCATATTAAATTTCATATCATGTTTAGTACATTGAAAATTTTTGACTGAGACAATCATAATTGTAATCAAAATTAATATATATTTACTTAATCGGAAAATCATAATGTTCTGAAACATGAGCTTTGATACCACATGTAAATAATTGTATTATGTTATGCATGTAACAACATTCATAATCTAAAATCGTGAACTATCATGATTTTCACAAATAATAAAATACTATGAAAAATAAATAACATACCTGAATCAGTTATACGAAACCTTCGAGTGACCCAAAATTGATTGAAAATAAACCTAATAATAATATTAGTGGAAAAGGGTTTCTCTCTCTTGACCCTCTTTAGAATACATTGAATTCAAAATTATTTTGATGGATAGTCTGAATGTCCTTTTATAGATAGAGAGAGGACCAGTTTCCTTATTCAACAATGATTCCACTTTCCTATCAGAATAGGATACTTGGAAAGCACTCTTCTTTATTTACTAATTAATTGTAGCAAAAAATACGGAATTATAATCCTGTCAAATCTCTAATTCATATTACCATATCATGTGGGTCAATATAATGACTAAATAAATAATTTAGTCTTACAACTTATTCCCAAATCGAGAAGCAAAATCCCCTCCAAATAGCACAAAGAAGGTGATGAATTTGATATGTTGACTTAAGGACTTGACAACTTATTCCTGAAATGAATAGAAAAATCTTCTCAGAATAGCTCAAAGAAGATCATTTTCACTTGAGTACTCGACAATTTATTCTCAATTCAAAATCCTATCCAACAATAAAGAAAACTATAGATTTGTAGAGTTTCATAATGAATTTTGATTTAAGTCTCTAACCGTCAAGTGTGATAGAGATTGATGGAGTTTCGTCACGAGTACTTTTATTTGATCTTTGAAACTTTATACTTTATGGAGATTGATAAGTTTGTTGGAATAAATCTTATGTGTACTGTTGAAACACGTAATAATTACACCTAATATATATTACCAAATTATATAAAAATATAAGTTGAAAACTACATGAATTGGTTGGGTAAAACTAACCCAAATCGTATAAAGAGAACCAGAAATACTAAAAGGAGAAGTAGAAACTTTACAAACAGATTTTAAAAAATATGGAACCATAAACAATTTGATCGAGGCTTCCTTAAGACAAATCTGTCTTTCACTGTGGTGCTCATGAGTTTTTATTGGATATTTATCTCCCAAGATATAACAATCGAACCTTGCAAAAGCAGTACTACCACGGCAAGTCTGACAAACCTTACTGTGTAGAATTTTCCTTTACAGAAGAAATACAAAGTACCAAAGAAGAGAAAAACAAGATGAATTCGATACTTGATTAATGCAATGAGGGCCTGTTTATATAGGTGAATTGGTGGCTCTTCGAATAATCATGGTGACTTTTCAATGAAAAGACACACCTTTTATTGAATAGGTGCCATTGAACAGACAGGTTCAAATTCTAAATCGAATCTTGTTTAATTTTGACCCCAAAAATGAACGCATTTATTTAAATAAAATCAAATTTTAAATTAAATAATTTTTTTCTTAAAATCATTCTCAAATGGTGTATTTTGGAATCAATTTCTCATTTACCTGTTAATAGTTGTCAAACCATTTTTCCAACAATTTTGGTGAAAAGACATTTGGGGTTTTAGAGGCTTAAATTGAATAGAGCTTTCTTTCTTGACTTGATGCAGATTTTGTTTAGAGATAAATAGCAAATTATCACTTTAATATTGTATCATAATTTTATTAGCTTAACCACCTCAATGTGACAAGTGGTTTAACTTAATTAGTAAAAAAATTATTTATTACATCATTGTGGCTTAATTTGATTAGCCAAAAACTTATTTATTGCATTATTTTAACATATGATAATATTTTATTTGACCACTATATAATTTTGATTTGAGACCAAACAGACGCCTAACAATATTTATTTATTGATAATTATGCTATATTTTATAAGCCTTTATAGTATGTGACAATTGATAATTGACTAAATTTTTATATGCTTATAGTTGCATCCCAAATAGTGGGTCATCCGTTATCCTTCAACTAATTAATAAGATGAGTAAATATGTTTGGAATACCACATATGTAATGCTCTATGGTATTTTGAGATTACTGAATCAATTACTCATCGTTTTAGTGCCAAAAGAATTGTATATGTATCTGCGTACACGCACACACAAAAAATCTTATTTTTTTATTTAGTGCACTATTTTCAATTTCAAGTTATAATATGTTACATTTTAGGTCCATCTAGATTAAATGAATCCAAAAATTTTAAAGATTTTAATTTTTATTCATAAAAATTAATAAAGATAAAAAAATCCAATTTTTATATTAAAAAAAAGTTAATAACATTTTGGTTTTAAAAGTTTTGTCATTTTTGTTCCCAATGTATAAATTGTGTTAATTTAGTCCCTAATATATAAAAGTATTTTAATTTAGTTCTTAATAGCGTTTCAATATGGGAACTAAAAATGTAATTTTTTTTTTTTATGTCCGGGTTATTTACACGTACTTCAACTAATCTCGAGATTCACGCAAAGCTTCCCCTCCACGTGGATTAAGCAAATCTTGGGCAGAATCTACGAGTATGGCCCCAAAGAATTGATAGCACTTAATAGGAGTTAAACTTGAGACTTGGATGGAGTACACTCCTAAACTCTAAACTACATCCACTAGGCCAATCTCTTAAGGTTGAGAAAATGTAATTAATCAAGCAAAAAAAAAAAATTGAATCGACTTATTTTCGATTTTAGTTTAAAAAATCTACCTAATCTATACTGATTTTTTTTGATAAACTTTGAAATGTTCAGTTTTAAAAAAATAAAATAAAATAAAAATGAACTTGTATTTTTCTGCATCTCTAGTAGATAGGATCTTCTATTTGATTTATTGATTAATTAATTTTTGATTTTAAAATAGTTATCAACTTTGAGTATTAAAAGAGGGGCAAGTGTAATTTGTGATTCAATCGCGGTACAGGGCCCGAAAGACTAACGGCTCGAATGGCTCGAATTTTTTCCCGCGTGAAATTTTGATTCACGTGGAGCTCACGTGTTCTGCACAAAGTGATGAAGAAAAATGAAACAAAAGAGCAGAAACCAGAGAGGATAAAAGGGAGAGAGAGGGAGACGACCACGATGGCGAGAGAAGGTTGCGACCACGACGACGAGGGCGAGAGAGACGACGATGACCGACCTGGTGTTCACTGACGGGCGTCGCTGACCACCGTCCAGCGGTGTTCGGAATCTCCATTTTGTATCTGTAGGTAAGGAATTTGAGATGCATGTTAATACAAAAAACGTTTATCTCAACTGAATCTGGAGACAATTACTTACCTATCTGTAGGTAAGTAATCTGTATGTTGAATCTGTTGGTAAGTAATCGGTATGTTGAATCTATGTATATTCAGCAGATTCAACACACTGAATCTGGAGACAATTACTTACCTATCTAGAATTACTTAATCTGTATGTTCTCCACTGAATCTCCATTTAATAATGATCTGTGTATGTTAAAAAAATTCTGCACTTAGTCACCACTGCAGCTATGTACCATCTGGTTATTGATCTGTGTTTGTTATTGATTGAACATCTGGTTATTGATATGTGTATGTTAAAAAAAAAAAATTGGTTGTTCTGGAAGCAAGCCCTCTGTTAAACATTTCCATGGTAGTGATGCATGCCAATTGTTTGATGAAAGTCCACATAGAGAACTTAGCCTATTTTTTTTGTTGCTTGAGTTCACATGAAAAATCAGGACTTCCCTTACTGTGTAATCAAATTAACTGAACCATATATTTTCAGTTTGTTTCTGAACTCCCCACCGCAACATAAATTTCCTTGTAATCAACTTAACTCAACCTAGATTTTCAGTTTGCTTTTGATTCTGTTTGTTAAAATGAATCAACCTCCTCGAGCCATGCACCACCTTCTAATCTCAGTGTGTTGAATTAATGTCAGTGTTGTTGAATTAATATCAGTGTTGAATTTTATCTCAGTTTGAAAAATTGAAATGCATATACATGCACTTACAGTTTAGTTTCTATTTGGTTTGAAGCTACACGAACTACACACTTCAATGGACATTGATTCAACTAATCCTTCATTGAATAAGAATGAGGAAGTTAAAGACGCGGAAAACAATCCGTCATTAAATGACATTGGTGAAGTTGAAGAACCTATGAAAGGCATGTGTTTTAGCTCAAAGCAAGAAATATATTCGTTTTATGCAAAATATGTGAAGCACGTCGGATTTGCTGTAGCTTATAGAACACAGAATATTGGACAAGATGGGGAAGTAAAATACTTTGGAGTTGAATGTACTCGGGCACGCAAGAGAACAAAACGATCAGAAATGCACCCTCTCGAGCCATCTTTGTTATCATTCATTGACTGTAAAGCAAAGGTTAGAGCAACTCTACAAAAGGATGGAAGATTTAAGTTGACCACAGTTGTCCTTGAACATACGCATGACTTGATTCCTAGTGACTCACGACATTTTGTAATGAATAAGCGAATTCTTACCCCTGTGAAGAGAAGACTAGAAATAAACGATGAAACAGGAATAGGGGTGGCTAGGAATTTTCATTCTATAGTTGTTGAAGCAGGGGGGTATGAGGCATTAACATTTGATAAACAAGATGCTAGGAATCATATTCAGAGTATGAGAAGATTGAGGCATGGGGTCAGAGATGCTGAATCAGTTGCACTTTATTTTCATAGGATGCAACAATAAAATTCGAACTTCTATTGTGCAATTGACCTCGATGAAGATGGTCGCATGCGAAACTTGTTTTGGGCGGATGCAAGGAGTAGAGAAACTTATAAAGCATTTGGGGATGTAGTTTCATTTGACACAACTTACCTCACAAACAAATATGATATGCCATTTGCTCCGTTTGTAGGAGTTAATCACCATGGGCAGGCAATTTTGCTTGGCTGTGGGCTAGTATCTAATAAGAACACTGAAACATTTGTCTGGCTCTTCAGAGAATGGTTAAGTTGTATGTCTGACGTTCCTTCAAAAGCTATAATAACAGACTAGTGCAGAGCTATGCAAAATGCCATTGAAGTTGTCTTTCCAGAAGCTCGACATCGTTGGTGCTTATGGCATATCATGAAGAAAATTCCTGAAAAATTAAGAGGATATGCCCAATATGAATCCATCAAGCTTGCTTTGCAAAATGCAGTTTATGATTGCTTTACAAAACATGAATTTGATGAAGAATGGGAAGCGATGATTGGTAAGTTCAACCTAGATGATAATGACTGGTTGGGGGTATTATACAGTGAGCGACACAGGTGGATTCCTGCGTATGTGAAGGATGTTTTTTGGGCTGGCATGTCGACTACACAACGAAGTGAGAGCATGAACGCATTTTTTGATGGATATGTGAACTCAAAGACAACTTTAAAGCAATTTGTTGAACAATATGATAATGCCTTGAGAAGTAAGGTTGAGAAAGAGATGAAAGCAGACTTCAAATCTCGAAACAAATTGTATGATTGCTTAACGGTATATGAGTTTGAAAAGCAATTTCGTACAGCCTACACGAATGCAAAATTTAAAGAAGTGCAAGTAGAATTGAAACGGCTATTGTATTGTCGTGCGAATCTTGTCAAAGAAGAGGGAGCTATTTGTACTTATCATGTCAAGGAGGCTGTTCTTGTGGGTGAGAAAATGAAGACTGTGGAATTTGTTGTGTACTTTAATGCAACTGAATGTGAATTGCATTGTATGTGTCGGTGGTTTGAGTTTAGGGGCATTATGTGTGCCCATGCAATTACTGTGCTACTTGAGAGGTGTATATATCAGGTGCCAGATCAATACATTGTATCAAGATGGAGAAAAGATATCGAAAGAGGGTACACATGCATTCCAACGACATACACTAACGCCGGGGCTGTTCTTAATGCAAAGTTGCACGACAAATACCACAAGATGTTGGACGAAATCATAGAAATAGCTGCCAACGATGATGGTAAACATGAAATGCTTGATCTTGGGCTGATAGAAATCAAGGATAGAGTGAGAAAAGACCAATCGGGTAGTGCGAGTCATGCACCACCTTGTACTAGTAATGTACCACATTGTCATAGTTCGTTGAGAAGTCCGTCTGCTCGTAGTACTACAAAAGCAAGCATGTCTCGCAACATGCTTAGTCCAATGGTTGCTCGCCGAAGAGGACGTCCATGTACGAAACGGAAGGTTAGCAAAGTGGATGCAATAGTGAATCGGTTGAAGGGATAGAGTAAAAAGCCTCCAAAAGTTGACCCGGTTCATCAATGTCAGCCTCGGAAGTTAAATTTTCCTGGTACCAATGATATGCAAGACAATACTTATGATGAGCCGGTATGTATTTGAATTTTTATGTTGTTGGTTATTTTTTATTTTAATGTCTTCTATGTATAATGAAATTGTGTTACGATGATCATAAGGCGACGCAAACTGCACCTTACTATTTTCCTTGCATGGATGGCACACAACAGAGTATGTATGTACCGGTATGTGGTCAATGTTTAAACTAAAATATTGGTTCTTACTATTTTAATTACTATATATGTTGAATGGACAATATTTGTAAAGTGTACTTCTTTATTGAATAGACACAGTTTAATCAAATGCAAACGGTGGACAATATTGGAGGCACATCTCATACTCAAAGTTCGACAATCGGCTTCATGGTAATTTTTTATCACTGCTTTTAATTGGGAGCTATATGCATTGCCTTGGCCAAGTTCTATATATTAGATGTTTTGATTGGTGAAGGTTGGGATGTAATGGAGATGTTAAAGTATTTAAATAAAGATGTCATTTTTTTCAGGAAGAGGAGCTGCTGTCTTTGCTCCGTGATGAAGAAGATGCAGAATGCTGAATCTGATTCCTGATGCATTACCTGAAGATGGGTGACTGTTGTAAAAAATGCTCACTGACAACTACAAATATGTTGTTGTAAATCATCTATTTGGAGATGTGTCCTTTTACTGTAATGGTCATATTTTATGTTCAATGATGGCAAATGGATGTTGAATGGGCCAGATTTTGAATGTATATCTGTCATGCTGAAATGTATATATCTGATAGCCACAGGTTATATTTTATGGTAATATTCCAGGCTTTGAATCTATGTTGAATTTGTATGTTGAATCTGCTGAATCTGCAGAACAGAATCTGCTGAATGAAGCATCACAGAATCTGAATGTTGAATCTGCAGAATCTGAATGCTGAACCAACAGAATCTGTATATTGAATTATGAATCTGCTGAATCTGTGTGTATGTTGAATCTATGAATCTGCTGAATCTGTCTGTATGTTGAATCTATAAATCTGCAGAACAGGTTTTGAATGTATGTTTTGAATGCTTAAAGGTTTTGAATGCTTGAAGGTTTTGAATCTGTATAACAGGTTTTGAATCTGTATGTTTTGAATGTGTATGTCTGTGAGCATAACAGGTTTTCAATGTATGTTTTGAATCTGTATGTCTGTGAGCATAACAGGTTTTGAATGTATGTTTTGAATCTGTATGTCTGTGAGCATAACAGGTTTTCAATGTATGTTTTGAATCTGTATGTCTGTGAGCATAACAGGTTTTCAATGTATGTTTTGAATCTGTATGTCTGTGAGCATAACAGGTTTTCAATGTATGTTTTGAATCTGTATGTCTGTGAGCATAACAGGTTTTCAATGTATGTTTTGAATCTGTATGTCTGTGAGCATAACAGGTTTTCAATGTATGTTTTGAATCTGTATGTCTGTGAGCATAACAGGTTTTCAATGTATGTTTTGAATCTGTATGTCTGTGAGCATAACAGGTTTTCAATGTATGTTTTGAATCTGTATGTCTGTGAGCATAACAGGTTTTCAATGTATGTTTTGAATCTGTATGTCTGTGAGCATAACAGGTTTTGAATGCTTCAAGGCTTGAATCTAAATGCAACAATGCTCCACATTTTGTATGATTGAATG